CTTATTTTAGGCGATATCGATGGAGTCCCATTGTCCCACGCGTACTTTTACTAAACATGGCAGAAAACAATTTTGACCAAACAACATTCTTTGTATCTAGCAATGTAGTTTTATTTTGATTGGATTTATTATATTTTGATTTACTGTCAATTCCTTCATCCTAATTTTAGGGGCAGTCAATTAAAGAACAAATACGTATGTGAGAATTCAAAGAAAAAGGTCGTACTCACGTTGTCGCCACAAACGCTTGTGGATCGTTACAAGATATTCCACCTGGTATACATTAGTTATTGCAGACGGTTGCATAGGTAATTTAATATAGAAACAAACAGTTGTATGCGCGCTTAAATCTTTAAATTCGTGTTGTTGATAAGGTTCTCATTCGACGAGGTAAATATTAAAGACAGGTTAGTTATTCAAGAAAGAACCATGAATCGGTTATAGACTTTTTATGATGGTGAACTCCAGAGGTTTGTTATATATGTCTATGATGGAGCCTGCATTTATAATCCATCCTATAAGAAGTGTAACTTCAAGTACACATTTGAATTAGATCTATTGGTTCCTGGTTTTTGGAGTGGTTTTGTCATATTTTAGAGGTTGGGGTTGCGGTAATAGCACTTTAGTTCGATTGGTTAACGACATTTTCTAAAGAAATTGGACCTATTTACGAAGTAATTGCGATGGGAACTTACAATATTCTTCATGTTTAGCAATATTTTGATCAACTTGCTCTGCATTCCGGGTGTTCGTTATCGTGTGTTCACCATACTTATACTGTGTATTTTTCTTGATACTTGATTCAAAATAAAGGTAAAGTGCTGAGGTGGGGTCAAAATTCCAGTACCTTGTATGATTTTCAAATAGAAGACGATGGAATGTTCTAGAAAAATCACTCATTGATGGTTGATTTTTTATTCGATATTATCAAAACCAGTATTTAGCATAGTCATTAGCTTATTGTATCACTTTTGGTTTCCAAATAGAACTCTAAAGAATGTTCGTTATCGATGACTACCACGCATTTCTCATTCATGCAAATTTACATCATGCAGGAATCAGCTGATTAACATTTTCGAAATAACGAAAAACTGTCTAAAAAATTGAAAATCAATTTATTCAATATTGTCCTATTTTGACTGGGCTATTGTGTCCATTGAGGTTGGTAAATGTAACGTTTTGGAGCTAGAATTTTTGGCGCAGACTTCACACTACTCAAAATAATTTGTGCTATAATAGACAGAGGGCCTGTGTTTGTGATTACGACTATACAGGGTGTCCCCGTTCAATTGGTCAAAAATGCTAGGGTATATAGAAGAACCATAGAGAAGTAGTTTGAGATATAGTCCAAGAGCCGGCAATACTAACGGGTATGTGATCGTTGCAATGGATAATTTCTACATAAAACCATAGTACATATTATAGTAACATTTAAACCAAATGGATGGGTTGCCTCGATTCTCATGGCCGTAAAGTTGTTTTATAAAAAGATACTTCAAGAACCATAAGCGCAACAAATAAGAAGTACCTTGCGGTGTAGGGGGTACTCATCATATGCGGCAAACACTTCATTAACACAATTTCATGTTTCTTTTTATGTCTAAAGACCTACAGTCGTATGCAAAATCCTCTTCACAGAGTCCTCTTTTAACTTTGAAAGTGACTTTGAAGGCAGTCACTTCCAAAAATTTGTATTTAGCAAGCAAAATAACGCGCGCGCTCGACTTTCAATGAGGTTTGCCATCATTTCCGTCCATCAAAATCGAGGCCACCCTATATATTATTTGAGAAGACATATTAAAGAATATATCTACCAATTTTCAGCTATTGCAACGATAACATTGTTCCTTCGGAAAAAGCGGAGTGGTTTACGCCCAGCCATCGTTTAAAGGTAGCTATGAGCTATTTTTTTATGTGAAAATTATCCATTGCAATGATCACATACCCGTTAATATTGCCGGCTCTCCTACTAAAAGGACAACGATGGTCGGAAGTGCGTCGTTTCCAAAATACATACACAGTAAAAAATGATGCGGTGGTAAAAAGTATAGATCACAAGGAAAATTATAGAGGTGTTAAAAATCACACTAAAATAGTTATTTGTATACCAAGGCCGCGAAGTGCCTTTTAGCGTACGTAGAGAAAAGTTATCGCCGAGGCCGCTTGCGGCCGAGGCAAGATAATCTCGAGGACGCTAAAAAGTTTCGCGGTCATGGTATACACACTATTTTTTGTGCAACCATGAAAATTATGTGGAATTATAGAAAAAATGTACTCCTTTCAACAAACATGTGGAACTAATTACCAGTTTGATGTATAACCTGGTGGCTATGGTGGCACAGCGTTTCCATGAATGTCATGGATGACATATTTTGCAAGTAAACAAATACACAAAAAATTTTGACGGTTCTCAAAAAATCGTGAAAATATCCGACAGCGATACAGATGTTTCACTCTCTTGCACTCCTCCAGAGCTAAAAAATATGGTTCAATCAGCTATTTCTGAGTTAATACCTGGAAAACTAAGCGGCAATATGAAAATTGTTACTGCGAGTTCAAAAAATTGGTGTGACAAACAAAACGTCAAAATGGTGTCTGAAAGCATATTGGCTAATTTAATGCCGAAATGGGAAGTTTTGAGAGTTCAATTCAAAAACACTGGATTATTAGTTGCTTCAGCTTCAGGAGTAAATATTAGTAATAATGCAAACTGTCATGTAAGTGTTAATATTTATCCTAAATAATTTATGTTGTTCTGAAGAATTTGGAAATAAAATTTACTTATTGTTGTTGTCAAAGTGTCAAATTTTGATTTATAGTTTCGCGGCCGTCACCAAGGGCAACGGCCGCGAAATTGAATTTCGCGGACTGTGTGGCGGCCGCGAAAGCTCATTTTGCGGATGGTTGCACAAAAAATATACTTATTCGTACATTTTAACACTCGATGACCACTATCCGAATGGTAAATTTCGTATAAACACATTTTTATTTCTTTTTATGTTGCTTCTTACACAGTTTAAATAAATTTCACATTACAAAAAAAGGATATTTTCTTTCACGCTGGTAAAAAAAATTGCGTTATTGTTAAAATAACCCGAAAATTGGTTAAAATAACACTCCTGAGGGTCGATTCACCTTTAGGCGTTGCCGGTGGTCTAACCCTTACCTAATAATTGCGTCAGTTTGTCCGTTGTAGTTGTACCTACAGGTTCTGGTCCCGCGTGGTGCATCTTTAATCGTTTTTAATCATTTGCAAGTTTCGTGAAACGTGATTGATGCCATCCATCCCAGCCTAAAATTATATGTATTTGAATTATTTCATAGAAACAAAGGAAAGTTCTGTAAATAAAATGATGATTTTTCGTATAAAGATGTCGTGGATCTAGGTAAGCATACTTATTTACTAAAAAATAAGGCACATACGCAATACGCCGCCATTTTAAGTACCATTATAAAATAAAGATCTGTTTTTTTAGCAAAAAAAAAAAAAAAAATCGCACTTGCAAAGTCAGAAGAAATAACTCGGTGATACAAATTACAAAAATTTGAAAAGTAGTAACGACCCTGAAAAACCAATCATGAGTCATCAAATTCAACGCTTTCAATTGATGGAAATACACGAATTGCATCTGAACTTGATGCATGGCTCCTCAACTCCAATGAAGGACCAGAAAACAGTTGTGGTGATGGATACCAGCATCAGATAATAGTCATATTGATCGAAGTTCCAATTTTTACTTGATTAGTGAATACTTTTAACACTCAATACTGTGTTTTTTTACATCAACCAAAATATGTTTAACACTAGGTAAATAAAATTTACCTTTGTTCAAAAACCTAATTTAACACTTAGTCAAGTGTACGTTTTACGTCCTTCAAAATATATTTAACACGCAAGAACGGGTCAAATGATTCTACTTTTTAAATAAAATTTACCAAATTTTACCACATTTTATCAGTGGTGAATTTAAGACGCATGAGTGTGGACCTTTTTGCGTGTTAAAATTAACACTAGATTTTTTACTGTGTAGTGTTGAAATTTGAACTTTCATATCATCTGGAGGGATAATGCTAGGCTATTCAAATTTTCAGGGATTATTGATGTATAGGAATGATATTCAAAAATTCGTATAATGCATCCCCATTTTCTACCTGGAACAGCCCCCCCCCAAAAAAAAAAAATTGAAAAAAAAGCAATTTGTTTCAATTTTTTTTTTGGGTGGTTCCGGGTAGAAAATGGGGGTGTATTAAATGAATTTTTAAATATCATTTTTACATCAATAATCCCTGAAAATTTGAACAGCTTAGCATTATCCCTCCAGAGGATATGAAAGGGGGTTGTTTAAATTTCAACACCCTGTAATTTGGAAACGACGCACTTTCGACAATTGGTGTTCTATCTCAAACTACTCTCTGGTTCCTCTATATACCCTAGCATTTTTGACCAATTGAGGAAAACTAAATTCGTTCCGCTGAGGCAAAGTACCTAGCCATTTGATAAGAATTATTATAAGTACAGGGTCATCTAATGAGGACTGAAAAACGATTCAACTTAAAACAAAAGAGTTTCGAGTTTCGACACAAACTTTGTATTTTTAAATGTAAAGCCATATTTTTGATGAAGCTATCTCTACTACCTCGGGAAATATTCTAAATTGCATTTTTGACCATTTACATATTTGTTTGTATTAGTGCACTTTCATAAATAGAACACGCAACGCATTGTTTTATTGAATAACAAATTAATGAAAAAATTGGTTGCGTTCCATCACTTGAGCCATAATATATCCATTCAACGCCTCCGCTACCCAAAGTCCTAGACACGAAAATGACTAATTAGGATGTAAACTACTAAAATACTAATGAAGACTCGGAGCTAATCAAGACATGCTTATAGAGGAGATGGAATGACCAAACATGCGCTTTACATAACATAAAATAAAATCCCGCAAAGTCCGAGAGAGATATCATCTCAGAGAGCAGAGCGGTTTTTTTTTCCATTTTGTTGTTGATTTTCTCGCTAGTTGCCTGGTCCACAACAGTCGTTGGTTCGACGCTCATCCGGAACATTCATGTTGGTTGAAAGCTACGCGTGTCCCTATTGCCTTCTCACTCACTCCCACGCGTCGTATCTATCGTTATCCTGCGGAAGGACATGCTGTCGTGGTGCTAAAGTGCGATAAGACTTTTGCGCGTGCATCTCGAACGCACTTCGCTCATCTATTGTTTTCAGTTTTGTAAGTAACTTTTTTTTTTAATTTAATTATATTAATTAATATTTTTTTGAAAGTATTTACTTATGTGGAAATTTAAAAAGAAAAAAAGTTGGGGTACTCATAGGAAACTTGAAGTACCGTTAGGAAGTAATTGAAAACCGATCATTTTTTGGTTGCTGGTTGAATCAAAATTTTTTTTGGAAATTCAAATGAAATTTTTTCTATTTAGGTACCTTACTTTGAAATGGGGTACTTATATATTCAGACTTTTATTATTCAACTAAACCAACGTTTCGACACTGATCTGTGTCATCTTTAGGGCTAAAATCAAGAAAAATCAAAGTATATACCGACATAGCCAAAAGACGCCTTTATCATTATCAACATTCAAAAATTAAATTATTTATCAACATTTGAAATAAAAGTTCGTTTTGAACAAACCTTTTGTTGTTAACCATATCTTCTCCATATTTTCTTGACCTGTTATTATTAGATATAATTTGGTATATGGCTGTTCAAAAATGGGTTCATTTTATTGGCAAGCGTGTCTTCGAAATTCGTGAAAATTCCTAGACTTATTTTAACTATACGTAGGTACTTATGCCTTTCATGACATGAATTGTTTCAACGTTATTCTAACCTGGATGGATACTTCTTGTTGCAACTATTTAAATTGTTCAGAAATCTTTCCGATTACTTAGATAGGTATATCTGACCATACATTTAGAATAGATCGTGCAATGGAAATTAAAATCATTAATTTTGAATCCTTTTAAAAATGCTTGACAGATCGATTATCATCTAATCCAAAAGCGATGGTAATTCAATAGGTAGTCCAAACATTCTCCTGAAGCTAAAATTCCTATCAACGACCTGGAATCAACAATGAGGTTTTTTGTCCTTTTTTTTTCAAATTTATTTGTTTATTGTTTGTTGTTGATTCTATTGATCTTTTTCCTGTTTTCACTGTTATACATACTTCCAATGCAAAATATATTAGGCATTAGGTACATTATACAGAAATAACAACAAAATTAGGATTTTCTTTAATCTCTTAAATTAAAACAAATGTCCCACCTTATCTAATGTAGATTTTGATTTTTTTTTGTTTAGGTACCATAAAATATATTTACACCGTGTGATTTATGATGGTACTGGATTACACAAGCATAAGCATGTGTTGGTGATGCAGGTCACGTTAAAAGATTTTTTTATAATGCTGAAGTATTCAAAAATCTGCTTATCTGTGCTTTATCTCAACAATGGCCTTCCAAAATTAGGCCGTGTGAATGCACATTTTTCATTCTTTGATGAGATTAACGTTTTCGGGGTCTTCGCCTAGATTTCTGAGCAAACAATTTTGTTTGAATGATAATGGGACCTGGTGATTTTTATGATCTAGTTTATAAAGATCAAAAATATGTCAGAAGATTTTCTCAATTAGGAGTTTGATTTATTGGAAATTGTCTTATCGACGAATATTTCCTAACTTATGGTTCGTCTGGCCAAAACAACGACATGATAAATTATCGTGGATCTCTATATTTACCATCACATCTAAAATATTGAATTTCATAATACATGATAACTGATCAGCTGTGGTTTTTCCAGGAAAAATGTATATCATGATCAGGGTTATTTGGTGAATTTGTCACTATTTACCTTCTCATTTCGTTGTTCTTATTAGTATGAAAGGAAACTAGATAATTGGGTTCATTAAAGTGTTGTCATGTGAGAAAACTGTCATGGGATTTCATGTTTCATGTTGAATCTCTGATCGAAAAAAAATGACTACTGAAAGCGCAAAAATGTGTTGTGTCCGAAAAGATTCAACCTACTCTCAAACATTAATGTATATTTTCAATACTCTTCAAAAATTACCTCTACTAGGTAGACACTTATCAGAAATATAGGAATAGGTGTGTCAATTTTTGTATAGATATATTTTCTATATTCAAAAATAACTCCCTTTGCCTACCAGTATGAAAAAGGGGAATTTCTTTAGGAATTCCCATTGTGTTCAAATAAGTCTAAAAACGTGCAAAAACGTAAAAAAAGTCGTATTTCACCCTACGGGATCTACATTCAAATCAAAATCCATTCAAATGGTTGTTTCTGAATGGCACAAAGGTAATAGATAAAGATTAAATTGTTCAGCAAGAAAGTCTTTTTACCTGATATTTTTTACTTTCTTTTTAATTCTTTTTTTCTCTGAATCCGATTCCTTCTAAACCTAAAAAGGTATAGATAATCCCTGAAATTAATGAATGTTGTAGTCGATTTTTAGGTATCTTAAACTTTTGGGATTATTTCCTCTACAGCAGTAAACAAGACTTGATTTGAGACATGGATACACATACTTTATAACTGGTGTTAGGGGATGCAAAATTTATAAAAATTATAGGGTGTTTTGAATGAAAACGCCTCCAGCATCTTATAAAAAATATTTGATCTAACGAATAAAGAGTTTTATTGTGTTTATTGATTAGGGTAGGTGAGGGCAAAAGTCCACACTTTTACTATTTGCATTAATATTAGACTTATTTTTTGCATTATGTTCTTAAAATCTGACATATCGTTTGATTTGTTTGTGTTTGTGTCTTTAAACATAAAATTAACACAAAATACAGAAGAAAAAAAAATCAGAAAAAAAACTATAAATATTGGCAAATGGGATCTTTGCCCCTTTTTAATAAAAATTACCTATTTTAAGTAAATAAAAAACAAAAACAAAACAAAAAGTAAAAACATTTATTTCAGTAAAGAAACCTAAAAAAATCTTTGGGAATTTTAGTAAAGAAACTTAAAAAAATCTTTGGGAATTCATAAGTAACACACATTTAAAGCATTTAAACGTTGAATGCCCTAAATCTCCTAGAAACTAAAACTAAACAAGTTAGTCCTTGAATCTTGCAGAACTACTTTGCAATGGTTTTGAAAGTTTCCTAACAATGTCAGCTTTATTGACATAGAATTGTTTATCGGTTTTTGAAAAATGCATGGAATTGAGTGCCCTTTTGTAAAAAAATCCATGGAGACCATCGTAATCTGTAGCCGTTATCTGGAAGACATAAAGTCGGAATGAATCTTTTGTTTTCCCCATGAACTTTAACCACAGCAAATTCCCTAGCACTTAGCCCAGATGAGCCGTTATTATTTTCTGAATCACTTACGAAATCCATTTTATTACTGCTGCTATCATGAAGCATGAAGGGATATTTCCGATTCTGAGTCAGAGGAGGATTGATTTTGATTCTCTTTCTTTGTCCCAAAAATATTTCTTATCGTTTTTTATTTTTTCTGATACTTTCCTTTCTTTTTTTTTTTGTTTCTCCTCTTCTATCTTTTCCAGTTCCTCTTTGTATGGGGTTGAGGTAAGCAGTGTAGACTTCAAACCTTTTCTTGTTCGCTTTCTCTTTTTGGTAAATATTGGCAAAGGAATAATATCCGAAGGTAGTGTTGCAGATAACTCTTCAGGAATTTCCTCTGCAGCTTCTTTTGCACATCCAGCGTTTTGGGATTCGCATACTCCTGAACATCTAGGTCTTCGAGAATCCTGAGCATTTGAAACATCACTTACATTCATGATCTCAGAATTGTCATCATAATTTATTTCATCGTTTATGTGAGGTCCTGCCTCTACCTCTACCTGCAACTCTTCTGTGCATGTCATTTTCATCTGCATCATCCATTTCTTGTTCCGTAACTGACGCAGGTAGAAAATCTTCATCAGTGAAAATATGTATTCTCATCCAGTGGGTAAATTCCAGTCATTTTAAAACCGTTAACGGCTTTTTCAATAGTAGTAGTTTTTTCATAAGCCTGCTTGAATAAACCAGCTACGTGGTATTCGGTCACCACTTGTCCAGGATTCGATGTTGTCCAGTTATCACAGAAATCATCGTAATAATCTTTAAGAGGTCTAAAAAAGTTTCTATCCAGTAATGCAGTGGCTGAGTGCGGTGACTGCTGTGTGGTGGAAAACTTAGCATGCGGATGTTGTTCTTTTTTGGGAAAGTAATGGCTTCCAGATTGGTATAAGAAATGTGGTTATTCAATATTAGTATAGGACAGCGCTAGTAATCGAGAAATTTTAATAAATTCATGTCTGTGACAGCTAAAGATGAACCATTTGTCTTTTGGGTGCAAATATAAAGAATGGGGGCACAAAATGTTTTGTTGCGCTCATACAACAAGCACTGTTACAGTATTTCCCTGTTCGGCAGCTACATTTTTGGCCACTTCTCTTTTTCCAGTAGGAGCTATATGTTTCGGTAATTTATTTGGGACGGTTTGGAAACCATTCTTATCCATGTTGTATATTCTTGTATTTTTCCATTACTGTCTTCAAATTTTCAAAATATTGTGACAATTGCTTCTTATTGAATCCCATTGTTCTAGCTACACTGGTTTTTCTAGGAGTACGAAGTGAGAGACGATTTCGTTTCATGAACTGCCTCGTCCAATCTCTTCACGCTAGTTTTGTATCCTTGCAGAATGGATGCGTAATGTAATTTTTTTTGGCTTATTGAAGGGCCAGAGAACGAAGAGATTTCAGAGTAAGTACATAAAATCGCAAGTCTAATGTCTTACAATGATCCACTATTTGTTTCTCCTGTTCTGAGGTGAAAACAGCACGAAACCGCCCCAAAGAACCCACATCGCTACCAGATTCAAACCTCTTCCGAATAGTTGACTCATCATAGCCAAGTGTTCGTCCTATTTCCCTTTATTGATAGGCCTCTGTCACGCATCTCCCCAACCTGTCGAAACACATCTTCAGTAAATGGTTTCAGGCTTTCCTTTTTTCTTTTATATGTCCTAAAATAGTAATAGGTAATTTGTCATTATAAGTATCTACCACCAGAAATTATTTTCCAAACCAGAAAATACATACAATGGTGTAATCGTCCGCAGGAGAGGGGGCAAAAGTCCGCAGCGGCCCCATCTGAAATGCGGGCTTTTACCCCAAAATGCATATTTGTTTTTGGCAAAAATCTACTAAAACAACATAACCTCAATTTAATATATTTTAAATGTTAGAAATGTTCTCTGATAATTGGGCTTTTCGTAGGATGTCAAAGACTCGTTATCAAACAGTCTAGGGATTTACAAGCTCTATAAAGATATTCAAAAAAATTACATTGGAAGAAAAAAATGCAAACTTACCTCACTATTGTTTTTATAAAACACCGCACAAAGCACGTACGTTTTCATTTCCCGATTACTGACAATACTGAGCGCGTTATACTTTGGTTGATTTAATATAACCATAGATTCTTGAGTTAGAAGCCTGCGGACTTTTACCCCGCATGCTTCCAGCTTTTTTCGAATGGGATGCCCTATATTTCATTCTATCTTCTTGAAGAGCATAATACTACGATTCCAAAAATATATAGTTTATCTATATTTGATTGAATAGTCTCTCATATATTCGGCTTCAAAAATTGTAGAAATACTATCCTACCACTGATTTTGTGAACCATGCTTCCTGTACAGGTGAAAGCTGCAGGTAGAATTTGAGGTACTTGGTTTCTCTGATAGTATTTTTGAAATTTTTAGAACCTAATGGAGACGGCTCAACCAAATATAGACAAACTATATAGTTTTGGAATCGGGAAATTGTGCTCTTCAAGAATATAGAACCAAATATGGGGCATCCCATTTGAAAAAAGCTGAAAGCATGCAACATTTCACATTTCTCACATTCAATTTTTGTTTCTGACCATGGATTAAACCAATACTGTACTAGTTTTGTATTTACACCTGTCACCTATCATTGTAAAGGTGAAAGCTGTAGGTGAGGTCTCAATATACAGAGTGTCCCACGAGGTTTTTCCCAAATGATAACTTCCGAACGCATCATCGTATGTTCCACTGTATAATTTTTTATCATTTTCTTTAACAAAGCCTTAACAAACATAGCATTGTCGATTTTGTAATTTAATTTTCTAACGTAAAATGCCATAATATACCATGAGTTACATTTAAGATTCAAAAGTTGACGTCACTCGACCGAAATTGAAGTATAAAAAGTTAGCCACATCCTCAAAATTTCAATTAGGTATATTCGATGATGCATTCCAAAGTTATTTCCTGGAAAAAACGTCGTGGGAGACACTGTATATAAACAAACACCCTGTACTTGAACAATAACTTATCACAAAGTCAGAATTTGTAAGATTATCCACTTCTTGTTAATTTGCCTTTTAACAGGAGAGAGTTCCGCAGCCATCTATTCATCAATTGTTTAAGTACGATACTAACCTGACTCACTCAAATGTGAGTTATTCTCATTAGTTTGAAAAGTATACGTTTCAAGTGAGTGTCTTATTTGAACAGTTCAATAATATATTGGAGAGTAAATGGCTGCGGAACTCGCTGCGCTCGTCCCGCAGAGGTCCACCTATAAGTTCCGCAACAATCCACTCATTTGTACTTGAACAATAACTTATTAAGTGAAGTCAGAATTTGTAAGATTATTCACTTTTTGTAAATTTGCCTTTTAACAGGAATTAGTAATGTTACTTTACCAAACTAGAACCTAATATATTGTGACAAGTTATTCTAGTACAAACGAGTGGATTGATGCGGAACTTATGAGTAGACCCAGCCATTTATTCACCAATATGTTGTTCAAGTACAATGATCTGAGTACTTACCTGATTCACTCAGTTGTGAATTTTTCTCATTAGTTCAAAAACTACACGTTTCGGGTGAATGTCTTATTTGAACAGTTCAACAGTATATTGGTGAGTAGATGGCTGCGGAACTCGCTGCGCTCGTCCCGCAGAGGTCCACTCATAAGTTCTGCAATAATCCACTTATATGTACAGGGTGTTTTTTTATATATTTACACCCCACCTACAGCCTTTACCTTCACAGGTAGAATAAAGGTGTAAATACAAAAGTTGTACAGTATTGGCTAAATCCATGGTCAGAAACAAAAATTGAATGTCAGAAATGTGAAATTTTGCATGCTTCCAGCTTTTTTCAAATGGGATGCCCTATATATTTCATTTCATATTCTTGAAGAGCTCAATGCCCGGATGTATATTTGATTGAGCAATCTCTCATATATTCTGCTCCAAAAATTGTAAGAATACTATCCTACTCCTACTACTGATTTTGTGAACCATTCTACCTGTATAGGTGAAAGCTGCAGGTAAAATTTGAGGTACTTGGTTTCTCTAATAGTATTTTTGTGCTCTTCAAGAATATAGAACCAAATCTAGCGCATTCCATTTGAAAAAAGCTGAAAGCATGCAATATTTCACATTTCTGACATTCAATTTTTGATGACCATGGATTCTAAACATTTAGCCAATATTGTACAACTTTTGTAGTATTTACACCTTTCATCTACTTGTAAAGGTAAAGGCGTGTCAATATGTAAAAAAAACACCGTGTACATACAAAAAAAACACAGGACCGTTAGCGTTCCATTACTACAAATATCAAAGTTATTGAAAATGGTGACAAAACTATTGATTCTTCTCAATTTACTCTGGCAATCGTCCCAAGATATATTTAGTTGAGCAATTCCAGGCGAATATGCAAGTTATTTTCATTTACCTCTGGGAGAATGTATCGGTTATTATTTACAAAAAAAATACATACAAACACAATTACAATAATAATTACAAGCAAGATTCTTATTGACGCCAATACCAATGTTGTAATAATCAATTAACTATTAATATATCGCCTTGAAAATCTATAATATTCCTCATTTGAATAATAGTCCATATTTATCCATTGTGTTGACATCTCGAATTACATTATTAACACTATGTTGTTAATTTATCACCCGTGTTGTAAAACTAGGTATATGTACTTTAAAGTGCATAATGTTTAATATTTTCAAAGTAATGTCAGTCAACGCCTAGTTTCATTATTGGTGTAAATAATAGTATAGCTTCAAGGATAGGAATACATATGCATGAATAACACAAATTTTTAATATAATCTTCAATTCAGCAAACTTCGATTTCAAAAGCTTTGTTTTGAATCCGGCTAGACTCGATTAATCCCAAAACAACAAAAACTCGTATGAAAAACTATTGATGTTACAAGAATGAAACAAAACGAAAGATTCCATAATCCAAAATGTTGGAATTTCATCTATCAGAGAGTATATTACCCTCGCATCTCGGCAACGCCTATCAAATGGGTATTAAATTGATTTGCCCTGCATATTATCTAAATTTATAGCAACTTTTGTGTCATAGATGCAAGTGTTGTTAATTGACTAGAGTTAATAAATATGGCACTAGACATTAATCTTCTCATCATCATTTGTGTCAATACTAATTTATTTTAAAGTGCAGATATATTGAAATTTTTAAATACCATCATCAGAACAATGATTTATAATAAATAACTCAGCAACAGTGAAAAGAAAAACATGCATTTGGTGTGCTAGTGGTTACGCCCTTGTGATGATTGCTGTAACCGTATAAGTACCATACCTATCATCATAATTTCCATTTCGTAGTCATGACGTTTTGGTTCACTAATTTTTATTTCTTTCTTTTGTAGGTCGAAAGAAAAATGCCCCTTAACGGCTGGCATCATCGACTGAGAAGCCGTACTGCGTGTTTTATCCTAATTTATCTAATTAGTTTAAGTACGGCCGAGCCCAACAATAATAGATACACTAGAAATTTTCGTGGAGAAGATCAAGATCATCAGTCTTCTTCTAACTCACTATCGCCTGGAGGGTAAGTGTATAGACTCATATAATTTAGTAATTGCAATTTCATTGACCTTATATCAAAATATAAAAATTACCATATGCTTGGTAATATAATAAGTATATTCGTATATATGACAATTAAGTGTTTAAGTTCGTGATTATCGTTAGAACGTCTTGACAGGATCAGATAGAGTTGCACGATAAGTATTTGCCTGCCATGGTAGCAGCGGGTTTCAAATTCCATCATGCAACTGATGCACTATTTTTGTTTTATGTATTTACATCTTCCGGAATTATGCATAATAACAAATTTTCAAAGGCTTTGTGGTAATATACCTGATCAAAATAATTTTTCAGCTCAGGGCATGTCATAGGTCAATGCAGGCTAATGAGTATAATTTAAGCAATATCAAATGTCGATATTCTTGAAGCTGATTGAATTTATTGAGGACATTATAATAAATTATTGGATGAGCAGACCTAAAAGAGGCTTGGAGCTCGGGGGCAGCATCATATTTTTTCCCTGAACAGTTTTTTTTTTTACGACAACAGGCGTATCAGGATTTCTTGTTAAAGCAATATTAAATCAATAAAAATTTAATTAAACCGTTGCCGAATACTCATTAGTCACGTTTAATTTATTATCGCGGTATGTAAACAACGATAAAGGTTTAACGTTTATGTCGTGTGGAATTTAAAAAAAAAACTTTGGTTGGTAATGGAAGTACCTTTTGGTTCAATGTCTCAACGTTCCGAGTATCTGTCATTCGATTTAATAGAGACTGCAGTTGAGCTTCAACCGAAGAAATTTTTGGAAGCAATATACAAAATCGCCTTAACACATCATCACAAACAAGTTACTTACGATAGTCGATTTGCTAACAAGCGTATGAAAGTCAATTTCTGGATATTTGTTTCTTGAAGCTTGTTTCATCGATTCTTCTCCTTGGAAAGAGAACGAAAAATTCCAGAGAAGAGAAAGAGCCACTATCAGAATCCGTGAAAAAAGCATCAGATTCTGAAGCGGGAACATTGGCAAAAGCATGCGGAATAACTTTTTCACTGAGTAGATGTGGAAGTTTTGAGGAACTGAAATTACTTTCTCTTTGCCGAAGTTTGCCACACAAAATGCTGCACCTACTCTTCAAAATAAAATTTATTCGATTTCTCTGAAAGCAGATGCGATGGCTCTGGTGTTTTCGTGAAGCTCCTTGTGAAATTTGGTATAGTGTGCTCTTCTCATCCGAATTGCAGTAATTCCCAAATAATGATCGTTGGACATCTGCGTTAGATTAGATTAGATAAGATTGTGTTAGGGGCGTTTAGGTGATAGACCTCTCAGCACTGCGACCTAAATAGATCTATTGTGCTTCCCCTTTTCCTAGTAGGTTCCCAGGTTGAGACACGATTTTTTCGGGATTGGTTCGTTTAACATCCGCAGCAGTTAAATGCTCCAGTTGAATGAGTCTTCTGTGACATAATGCTTCGCATTTGCAGAATATATGTTCGGCAGTTTTGGTTGCTTCTTTGCAGAAGCGGCAAAGGTCTGATTCAGCTTCACCCCTCTTTTTCAGGCGGTAGCCAAGAGGGCAGTGGCCGGTGAGGAGACCCGTTATGAGCCTCAAGTCTGGTTTGCTAAAATCGAGTAGTTCCTTTGCCTTTGTTGACTTTGGCGAAATGAATTGCTTCGCCTGTCAAGTCCTGGAGTATTGTTCCAATGGAAGGCCTGTTGTGCCTCTACCCATTTTTTGAGTTCGGTCCTTACATGGCTTTTTGTCAGACCAAAGAAGGGTTCTGGACCGAAGAATGGTGACGCGGCACCTTCTCTTGCAAGCCGGTCCGCTATTTCATTTTCTTCTATGTTTTGGAGCATTGGTACCCATGCTAGAGTGACTCTGTTGCAGTTCGCCAGTTGCTTTAGAAGTTTCTGACATTCCCAGACCACTCTGGATTTAGTGACAAAGCTGTTAAGAGCCTTAAGTGCTACCTGACTGTCAGAATTGTTGAAGATTCTTGCACCTCGTTGGTCTATTTCAAGACACTTTCTTGCGCAGAGTTCTATTGCGTACGTTTCCGCTTGGAATATGGTGGGTTTTTTCCTAAGGCTACCGATAGCCTGCAGTTTGGGCAATATACGCCCACTCCGACCCCTTCTTCTGTTTTCGATCCCTCTGGTACGTTACACAGATGAACCTTTTGGGAATATATGTACGATCTTATCACTTTTGCGGCCTTCTGCGGTCACACTAAAAAGCGGATTAAATTCGTATCTGGGTGGCATGATATCCACCGGTTTTGTTGGAGTACCATGGCATTCTTTAATGATGCTCATAATATGTCCAACAAGGTCCCCTTCCTTTAGGTTTAGAGACCGTATAACCCTTGAGGCCCCCCATGTAGGCCTCCCTCCTCACTGTAATGTGCAGAGGGATGATATCTAGGAGGGATGATATCTAGGATGAATATAGTGTCCTCAAAGCCTTTGTTTTTTGCCGCCTTTCTTATGGACTCATAAGAGGTGTTATCAAATGCACCCTCTCAATATATCAATGAATGCACAGAGAGCGGTTTCCTGTGTGGGGGTTTCTCCGTTGATTTGCCTTTTGCCTGATTGATAGGCATATTGGTTTTTGTGGAGTGATTTATCGGTTACGAATTCGCTTCTTATGTGTAAATTAATGATTTTCTCCATGGTTTTGAGGAGAAACGAGGTTGGATTTGAACGATTTAGGCTATGCTGTGGAATGTTTCCCAGCCTTTGGAATAAAGACCACATTTACTTGCTGCCAGCTGGTGGAAATGTAACCTAGTAGGTAGCTAGCTTTGAATATTATTGCTAGTGGAGCTGGAGCTATAAGTTCTTCTAAGCGTTGTTGTAGGAGAGCTGGAAAAATTCTGTCTTCTCCTGGTGATTAGTACGGCTGAAAATTGTTTATATATATATACATATATTTTTCTGGCCAGACTTTTTGTTCGGTTGCTTGGGCGTGAGACGCCCTTAGCCACCAAAGCTCTGTTGCCGTTTAGTTCACACTCTACAGAGTCTGGGAAGTGCGATTGCAGGAGCAGTTTCACACTCTCTAATCTCTGTGTACCTGCCATCAGGTTTTTGCAGTAGGCCAATGCCGTTTGAGTGGTCTTTTGCAAGGACTTTCTGGAGTCGCATTATCTGAGGGATGTCAGTAATCTCCTCATAGAAATTCCTCCAGGACTTCCTTTTAGACCTTCTCAATTCCTTGTTGTATTCAGTTAGGGCAGTTCTGTATTCGCCCCAGTTGTTGGTGCGTTTTGCCCTATTGAATAACCTTTTTGTTTCAGCTCTTTGGGAACTGAGCGACCTGTTCCACCAGGGCGTTTTTCTATCTATGACCCTTTGTTTCACAGGACAGCTGTTTTCATCTGCCTTCTTCCAGATCCTAAATATAATCTATCAAATTTAAAATAAATGTGCGAAATTCCGCTTAAATTTTCCAAACTATCATAGTGCATGTTATAAATAGATGACTATATCGGAGCATCTTACACACATTATACATTACGAGAAATACAGTGGCATTTGAAAGCATTGATCGATGTTGTTGAAATATCAAAATAGAAGTCACTCTCAATGTTGCTAATTCAAAACATTGCACATCGCTTTTTTGTCAACCATATAACGGTTATGTTGCACCTGTTCCTGTTACACGTAGAATATAGAGCCAATTTAGTAGCCATTACCATTATCCGATCATAGTACTGATGTGCTTATGAAACCAATTGCATACCGGTCCTAAAATTGGGCATAATAACACACCGCCAACACACTGATTACTGAGCGGAGGCGGCTCATTTCTTGCCTTGCTTTTAATGAGGCACAATATCTAAAGCCGTTTAATGTCATATTATATACACATAATTTTTCTGTTTAGACATAACACAAACTCGCTGCTGTAGGTAAACCAAAATACAATTTTAATTTATGCTTCTTGCAACATAGAAGAGCTTTCAAGCTTCCATGCTTAGGATCACTTTAATCAATCTTAAGTATTTGAAAAATACCCTTATTGTGATAGGATTTATTTTTGCCTTGTGAAATTAATGTAGTTGTTTAGGAGTTATTTGACACTTCAACACCATTTCAATTCAGATCTTCAGACAACAGTTAGTTAAGATGGGCAGTTAAGATTATGTCACTTTTATTTCAAAACAAGATTATCTTTGTGCGGTTACCAACAGAGCGACCTTTACCCAATAAAATCTTAATTTAACGAAATTGCTCCCAGGCCATATTTAGGTCATAATTCGACTCCCACATAATCTATTTGCACTTCCTTAAATAGCAAAATTGTTACATTAGAAAAATTGTTAATATCTATTTGTCGATGTCTGATAGTTATTTATTAACATAATTCAGCTCTATTCAGAAATGGTATTTTACCTATTTTAGGTACCCAATGGAAAAAGAGTTTTCTCCGGACCCATATGAAAAAATGTATAGAGGTATAACAACAGTCTTATGATTTTATCGCTTGATAAAAATTGGTAAGGCCACACTTAACAATAATTATGTAACCTTGAACGTGGGATTGGCACCGCTATCTGGATTGCGGGTTCCTGTTGAAAAAATTTGCGTTCTACGGTGCGTAGGTTTTCGAAAAACGAGATAACCGAATTAGTGGACAATTTGTTCCGATTGCGTGTCTATTATATTATGTTAAGAATCCACGATATTGTAATCGTAGCTTTGGGATTTTCATATTAAATCAAACATTTATTTATTCTCAATTCTTCTTCCATTGGAATTTTATAGATATTATATGTAGCAAGATTTCTGGTGTTATAATTTATGTTTTGATAGCCAGGAAAACTTGAAAGGTATTTACATTCAATGAGAACGTTGCCAATGCCTAAACAATACTTCCTTAATGCACTTGAGATTCAAAGGTTCAGTGCAACTATTTAAGTCAAAGGCGCCATTTACTTATTAGTAAAGTGTTTTCATTGTCATGCAAATTTGCTATAGAGTAACGTTAGAAAAATCAAATG